AAAGAATCTACAGCAAATTCAATCATTTTATTCTGAAGGAACAAGCACTTGATTAAAAGCTGAAGAATAACTTAGAGGTCAGGATTTTCTACACTAATTTGTTCATTACTGGTACGTAAAACACACCAAGAAGAAGGAATGAGATAAACCAAAAAAAGGAGAGAGGGAGGGAAGGAAAGAGGAAAAGAGTGGGAGAAGTGGAGGGCGGGGAGGGAGAGAGGGAGAGAAAGAAAGCGAGAGAGAAGTGAAAACATAAATGCAAGGTACTGTGAGAGGAGATACCTTTTCAGTGCATAGAAATTGAGAGCAAATTTTCAAGGACGTGTTTCTCCCCGTCTTGAAAACTATGCTGAATTTTCAGACATTGTAATAAGAACAATTAAAATATAACCAAATGTTTCCTGGGAAAAATGAGCAGGGGGAAAAAAAGAATGAGTTTTTAAAGAAGCTTAAACATCTAGCCATGGCATATTTAAGAATAAATCTGTTCATTAAAAAAAATTATATTTCCAAAGCTTGCAGATCTTGCATTGGCATTTCTAGTATACTTACTGTTAGGAATCATTTTGATAGTACATTTAAGTTTTCCAGATGTTTTACTTGTCATTCTACCAAAGCAACAAGACTATGTTTAAAATGTAAAACATGATAGCAATGATAGGTGGTGATTATTTCCTGGATTGACTCAGAAGTAACTCTTAGCAAAAATACGTGTATTAAGTAATATTGTATGAACAGGGCTAGCTGGGTCAACTGCATTTAATACCATCTGCTTTGTTTATATTACACATCAAAAGACCTCTCAGCAGGTCCATGCGTAAAGAAGTTACAAGTTACCATACTTACGTTGGGTGGAGAAACAAAATTCATTTTTTGAAGGAAATATTCTGGTGTGTGGGGCAAATATAGGTAGTGCAGGGGAGAGAGGAAATTATTTGATATTGAGATTGTCAAACAGGAAAAGTGTTTTTTAAAAATATCATGTATGCCATTTCTTTTTGTAAGCCATATACAATGTAGTTGATGAGCCAACACAAAATCGTAACATGTCTTCCAAATTTATGTCAAAGGAGCTCTCAAACTATAACTTTGTTACATTCCTGAGGACTTCTTCAGATTTATTTTAGAAACAAAGATACTATTATTGATCAACTATTAACTCTTCAGAGGTAGAAGAAAATAGAATCATGATTTCCTTTTGTTCTGACTAAAAATCTTGAAATCTCTATTTTCATTTTTACTTATTGCCAACAGTGTTTGAACGAATAAGCCTTCCCTCTCAAAGGTAGAGGAGAAAGTACACACAAAAACAGACACATAAATCCATATATGTGAAGAGAAACATTAAAGCCTCCCAGTGATACTATGATACCTTAAGACAACCAATTATAATAATCGAATTTTGTAAAAGTCAACGAAAATCCATTTCTGGGACCCAGTTACCACATATAAACGGTCATTTTCATTATTATCTGAATTCATTTTATTTAAACTTTGTCTACAGAGTCAGAAAATGAACGGTTTGTCCCTAGATAGCTCTCCATCTTACAACAGGACAGAAGAAAAATTACTTTCCAGAAAATCAGCCATAGCTGCGTTCTGATGTCAAGTGTTACTATTATAATTTTGAATGGACCAATTTTCTCCTTGTTTTTTTTCTTCTGGTAACATAGCATAGTTATGTGAAGGATAATTTATTTGTTTGGTTGAATCAGTTGCTATCTCACTAAACTAGATACTGTGTGTCTCAATATTTTCTGCCTACCTTAGTCCCTTTCAAAACTTGTATTATGAGTCCACAAATCATTTTTCATTTCTCCAATTTTTTTCTAACACATTTGTTTTATAGCTATTTAAATCTTATTTTTTTATTGGTAATTTGTTTTCCTGGTGCCCATTTTAATGACAACAAAGATTAATTGGAGCTGCAGAATCTTCAATAGCTTCCTTAAGAATTAGATAATTTTGTGAATTACCATAGTGCATTTTTATGCACACACTCTCTACTAAGGTGAAGCGCTCTGAAGGCAAGGATAAAACTGATTTCATTTTAGGATCCCCAGGCCTGGTATACAGGCATTAAATATTAATATTTACTGAGGAATGAATGAAGCAGAATAAAAGAAGGAAGGAAATAGGTTTTTACCTCATTTGAAGTTAATAGAAGATTAAAAATCGTAAGTGGTAGATGATTATTTAGTGGCTGCTGGATTCTATAAACTTAATTTTTGTTCCTTACTCATTTTTGTTTCCCCTTCTGCTTTTGGTCAATCTTACAGATAATCAAGCAGACATAGGTATAGACTTTGGCACTGATGGGAACATGGGTTTCACCTGTCTTCACAACAGACTAATCACCATGAGTAAAATGACCCAAATGAGGGGCCAGGTGAAGCCACTTCTGTTCATTTTACAAATTTAAAAGCAACCCAGGTTTAAAAAATCGAAAACAACCTGCAATCTTTTTAAAAATAATTCCTTAGTTTGATATATTATAGAATATGTATTCTCAGTCACACAGAATTTATCATATGAAAACAAGCCTATGTTGTATGCAGGTAAACACCTACATTGCACAAAGAGGACATTCATTTCTTTTATACATTTGTGAAGGTGATAGTTGAGCCCATGATTGAATATTATAATGATTCTTAAATCAGAAGCACCTGTCGACACACGAAATAGCTATGCAGTTTTGGTAAGAACAAGAGTAAGAGAATGTGGCTTCTCTTTCTGAAGTAAAACCTTACCAGTGCTGGAAACAAATGCCATGGAATGGCAGGGCTGTTACCAAGGAAGGAAAAATCAGAGCATTAAATAAAAGATTCTGGTACATAAATGCTGGTTCCTTTTCTCTAGAGACTGCTTTTCTAGAGGATAACCAAAATAACGAAGTAAAGAGTTTGGTAAAAATGTTTATGTCTTTACCCAAGTCCAAAATAAATTGTATATCACATGGGATAGTAATTAGAAACTAAAACAAAACCACCACCCGGATTTGGTCCCCAAAGACCCAAAGAGATTACGACACTGATTAAAACTCTCTAGATATCATGGCTGATACCAAGATCCCACCTATGCCTGGTAAAAAACATTGTCACACATATGTGCAGGTAGATCTAAGAGTTTCCTTGGTTCAGACATAGCAAGGTGATGTCCATCTGGGGATTTTTATTTCTGTTCACACACTAGATACATCCCAAAATGAGATGAGTCAGTGATTGACTGAGTTTGCCTACAAAGAGAACCCCAAGTAGATTTCAAGAGAGTAATTTTCTTCTGTAGGCTTCTTAAATGACCATGTTAGTATGATTTCCCTACAGAAAGCCCAGTCGAAGGTTGCAGAAGTTGTTTGTGCTTCACCCTCTCTAAATGACTTGCAAATTTATTCAAACACAACATGAGGAGATGCTTTATTTGTTGAAATAACTGTCTGCAGTGTCCTGCACTAAAGGGTGAGGTACATCAAGCAGAAACATGGACAGAAATACATTAGTTTCAAAACCCATAAATCCTTATTTGAATCTGCCAACCTGAAAGCCATGAAGAGCCTGAATAAACTATTTTTCCTAAATGCTACATCTGATTAAGCCATACCATTAAATGACAGCTGAACTTTAACATTAATATGATATTATTTAAATAACCACATGATTTTTTTTACACTAAAAATGATGAATGATTTCTGGACAGCGCAATTGACATAAAGCAGGAGGACTCTTTAATGAGATTTGACAAAATGGAGACATATGCAGAATATTCGTTACAGCTCACGTTGCAGGAGCCCTCCCAGGGAAGCTATAGAGGTTTTTTCCCCCCTTTCTTCTTTATTGTCTATAGGCACTGAAGCATTCCTTTCAATCGCCACTTCCCTTCTCCGTGAATTTTGAGTTTTTCTTAGGTCATTTGCATATTACTCTGAATCAGAGAATTTGGTGGTTTATGGTTATGAGTTGGGACTGTGTGTCCAGGAAAAGGAGAGGCAATATATCATTAGGTCAGCCTTGGCTGCCAGCGTCCCAGGAACTTTAGGCTCGCTACTGGTCAGACCGACAGAAGAATATCATCGGCCTTGAAGATTAAACAATCATACATTTGATTGGTTCACACACAATAAATCCCTAACACGGCAAACATATGTTTAGCAAATTATTGTATATGGATGCATGATCAGAGAAGACTTTAGTTATTTGTAAACAGTTGTCACTATAGTATCAAGTATAAAGCAGATTTCCTTCTTTAAAATTCTAATGAAGCTATTCCAGAGGCCATTTTCAACATTCCTCATTCACTTTTCTATCTACAGTTCCAAACTGACAGTCATGCTAGATGCCAGTCTTATTTGGTAGATTCTGAATGTAAAATAATTTCATGCTGAATATACTTATAAGGATATTACCTATACTCATTCTTTTCCTTTTTCATACTCACACATTTTCCATCAAAGTTTAGTTGCACATACAGAACATAAACATTTGCTTGCTAGCACATAGGAATTCAGATTATTCAAATCATCATACATTTTATAAATCATCTTTAAGTATATACATACAATGGAAATGCTTCCTCAAACAGTGTCCCTTAAAGAAATAAAAACAAGGCAACAAAGAGCCTTGAGCAAAGCTAATACCAAGTGTACTCCTGATAGTGACAAGCCTGCATTCTCTCTGTAAGAAGGAGGCTATCAAAATAGAAAATAAATCAGATTGCTCCTGCCATGGGGCCTTCCCCAGGCTATAAAAAAATACTTCATGTCTAACCCTAATTTTTTCCATGGCTTGAGGTAACCCCCCTAGCTCAAACCTTCTCTGTAATCTGTATTAGTATGTATCCCTGTCCAAACAAGAGTTAATATCAGTACTGTTTTATTATCAAAAGGGTCTTGACACAGGGTACTAAGAGCAGCAGCTCAAAAGCCTGTAAAATGCCCCATCACAACTGGATGAAAACAGTATTAAAAAAGAGAAAGAGAGGAAGATGGGTCCCTACCTTGCTCTTACCTTCGCAACATCCCCGTCAGGATCCTGGAGCTTTTCCCTAAATTAGCATCTGTTTCCCGAAGCTGGAAGGAGAAAAGCAACATCAAAACAAAACTATGTGCACTTAGATTATTTCTAAAGTGCATGGCGAGCAACAATTTATTTCATGATAGAAAATCCAAACAATGAAAATGCTTAAATATACAAAAATACATACATTTCTGATAACTATGCAAACTACAAAAATCCTTAGATTCCGAAAATGACATGTGAGAGGTAATGCCAGGAGCTTTAAACTGGATACTTGAACTGGATATAAAAGCAAGTGTCTCACAGGCTGACAACAGTTAAAGTACACCTGGTAATTCATCTTCAGTTTATGAATGGACAACGTCTTAAAAATACAAACAAAAACAAAATGAATGGAGGAAGGATAAGACATCAATATTGTTATAGCTTTCACTCTGAAAGGTTGACATACGCCAAAATCTCCCTCAATGACCTTCTCAGCTACAGAGCTTAATAAAATATCCACCTGGGGGCATTCTGGGATGGAAATATAGAGTCGGTTTCTTTTTTCTCCACCTCTCTTTCTTTTCCCCTACACAGACTTTACGCCCCTCTGCCACCCTAACCATATTTATGCAAACTCACATCTATGTAATTGTTACTGTGTATGTCCCAGTGACCTTTCCTTTACGTTGTCTCATTTACCGAATACGTGAAGAAACTGTATCACTTGTGCTTACCCTTTCACGTGCCCGCTGTATCTTTTCTCTGTCGTGACTGAGGTTTTCCAACATCTCCTGACCGATTTGCTCTATGGAAAAGAAAATCTGAGTAAGGAAAGACGATGTGGGGTACACGCGAGAGTGACTTTCAAAAGTATCAAAGTGACATGAAATGTTAAAGTAGCTTACATATACATCAGACACATATTTCAATTCATGTATGTGAAAAATATAAATAGGATTTGATAAATGTACCTATTTATCTTAGGTATGATTAGAAATTTGACCTATAGAACATAACCCACATGGCGATAATAATTTAGAGGTGATGTGACTTGCCCGGGCCACTCCGGCAAATTATCAGCAAAGATGGAGGAGAGTCCAGGTCCAAGGATCTATTATCTTGTCATCATGGAATTTAGCCTTTGGTTTTTACAGGTTACAAGGAATGTTAATGATTCCACTCTACCTTCTTTACTCATTATGGCACCATTTTGCATATGTAACTCAGTCTCCATTTAGAAAAATTTTGATTTTAATGTGTTCACCCTGCATAAGTAATCCCCCTATTCTCACCTACTGTAGCTTATTGGTAGTAGAACTATCTCCAGGCTTCTGTACTCTAAGAGGTAAGGGCTCCTTCAATGTGTCATCAGCTTCTGTA